AAGCAGGTAAAAAATGCAAGTAGAAAAATAGGGACAACTTTGGTGGGAAGGTAACAGCGTTCCGTGCGCCTTCGGTGTTTAGTCATGCCGGACAGTGCTGGCTCTTCGGCTTTGAAACAGGTGAGCACTGCCCCCTAGAGTCGGGAACGACTAGCACATATGTGTGACGGGAACCTTTACCTTATTACGATAACCAGGTATTTGTAGTCTAAAACCGTACAGTGATTTTTAGTTTTAAAACTGACATATTGGTAGATGTTGAATTGTGACCACAATGGGGTCTGAATTTTCATTGCTAAATGAGACAGTTATTAAGCAGACTGCACCCCATTTTATGACCTTTTTGCCATAGTTGGTAAGTGAATCATTGCAGTCTTTAAGTGAAGTGTGCGGTTATTAAGTGAATTTGGGTTCCCCCTTTGATTTTGCTTGTTGGAAGCCAGTTGGGAAGGTTGCAAATGACAGTCAGATGGCCCCAGGATAGGGCAGTCATCATAAGTACATGCCAGTTGCTAAGAACTTGAATTTTGATCCTGTGATTGTCGGAATGTTGTGGAGAGTTGTAAGTGTGAAGACTGGTTCTAAGTCACTTTTTTCCCCCCAGTGGTGTTGTAACTTTGAAAGGTCAGAAATGAATGGTTGTAAGTCGAGGACCACCTATAATAATTTCTCATAACTTCATAAATAACTGCTCATATATCGTAAAACTGTAACCTCAATGACATTTTAGATGCCACATATTCTTACTTGTCTTTTACTATTTGTACTTTACTCTTATTTTATTTATTTTCCCTTTATCTTGGTTTATATTCCTTCTTTCAACTGCTGAGTAACAAACTGCCCCAAATGTCATTTTTAATACCTCCCCATCAACTTTCAAAATAAAAAAAGAACATCTGCCTTTACTAACCAAGTTAATGTCTTACCTAGGCGTAATTTAATGATGGAAGGCGCTGCGTCCAGTGCCGGAGAACAGCTTGTTGACCTGACGTCCCGCGACGGAGCCTGGTTCTTGGAGGAACTCTGTAGCATGAGTGGCAACGTCACCTGTCTTGTCCAGCTACTCAAACAGTGTCACCTGACCCCTCAAGATTTAGACATTCCTAACCCCGTTGAAGCGTCAGAAGCTATTCACCTCGCTAATGGAGTTTACATCTCCCTTCAGGTAAAGTATGCTTTTAATACATCTTGTTACTCTGGAGAGATTCTGTTGGGATAAATCGTGACAGAACAATATTTGAATCGAATTTGTGTTACCGGGGTGGGGTGGGGCACAGTGGTTAGAATGTAGTACTGCAGGCTAATTCTGCCCACTGTCAGGAGTTTCATCCTGACTGACTCAAGGTTAACTCAGCCGTCCGTCCCTCCTCCTGAGGTCAGTAAAATGAGAATCCAGATTGTTGGGGGCAATACAGGCTGCATCTGTAAACCGCTTAGAGAGGGCTGCAAAAGGACTATGAAGCAGTATATAAGTCTAAGTGCTATTGCTACTTATTTTCTTAAAAGTTAAAGAAAATAGCTGGATGGAGTAAGCCTGCACCATTTTCAAGCTAAGCCATGAACAACATGGAACAGTTCAACCAAAGTTCAGTTTACAGACAATAGACAGAATCTTGCCAGACTAAATCTATGTTGCTCTCTAACAGTTACTGTATAACCTTGGAGGTTCGAGGGAGTGGCTGTCCTGACTCTCCTCTTCTGTCTCTTCCTCAGCTCCAGGCTGGGCTGCTTTTAATCTCGCCCCTCAGCCCTTTCTGGAAGGTGCTCTCCCCTTACTGGGAAACTGCCATCTCATTGTCATCCTTCACATCATCTCTCCCTTCATGGGCTGCTTCTCTCACAATCATTACCTTACAACAAAAATAATTCAAAATTGTTGTTGTTAGTTGCGAAGTCGTGTCCGACCCATCGCGACCCCATGGACAACGGTCCTCCAGGCCTTCCCGTCCTCTACCATCCCCTGGAGTCCATTTAATGAACACATGCTTCGGGGACTCCATCCAGCCACCTCCTTCTCTGCCGTTCCCTTCTTCTTTTGACCTCCATTGTTCCCAGCATGAGGCTCTTCTCCAGGGAGTCCTTCCTTCTCATTAGGTGGCCAAAGCATTTGAGTTTCCTCTTTAGGATCTGGCCTTCTAAAGAGCAGCCAGAGTTGATCTCCTCTAGGACTGACCAGTTGGATCGCCTTGCAGCCCAAGGAACTCGCAGGAGTCTTCTCCAGGACCAGAGTTTAAAGGCCTCCATTCTTTGGCGCTCAGCCTTTCAACCTTCACAGCCAAACATTGCAACTGGGAAAACCACAGCCTTGACTAGACACACTTTTGTTGGCAGGGTGATGTCTCTGCTTTTTAGGATGTTGTCTAGATTTGCCATCGCTTTCCTCCCCAGGAGNCAGTGGTTAGAATGCAGTATTGCAAGCTAACTCTGCTGACTGCTGGCAGTTTGATCCTGACCGGATTAAGGTTGACTTTTCTATCCTTCCAAGGTGGGTAAAATGAGGACCCAGATTGTGGGGGACAATAGGCTGACTCTGTAACCTGCTTAGATAGGGCTGTAAGGCAGTGTGAAGTGGTATATAAGTTTAAGTGCTATTAAGTGCTATAGCTAGTGCTATATATTGGCATGTGATAATACACATTTTTTTCTTAAAGTATTTTGACCCCTGTATCAATTGTGCACTTTAAAGAGCGGTGTGCTGGCCTAGAGATGGAGCGCTCACCTCACAATCTGGAGGCTGTTAGTTCAGTCCTAGAGGTAGATATTTCTCTCTCTGGGCACAATGAAAATATATCTGCTGAACAAAACGCCTCATTGGCAGCAGGAAGGGCATCCGGCCATTCAAACACTCTGCTAGCTCCATTCAGTTGCCCAGACTCCACCCCTCAAGAGATTATGGGGTTATTAAATGATTAATTGTGCATTTTAACTTTGCCAAGCTCTGCTGCTTTTTAGTACTCTTATTATTATGCCATTTCCAATGTTTTCTCTGAGAAGATTATAGCGTTTTAATGATGGGACACAGCTCATGTTCAGTGGTTTAGCTTTGGCATTATAGCAAACCCAGGTAGCAGAGTGTTCCTTTTTTTTTTAAAAAAAAAACCCATTTATAATTTTTTTGCTTTCCCAGGTATGAAATACAGTATGCCCCTCAGCCTCCTCCGGCGGTGTGTCAGTTTATCAGTACGACGGAAATAACACTTCAACGCTACGCGGCAGATATCAACAGCAGGCTGATCCGACAGGTAGAACGGCTGAAGCAGGAAGCCGTCACGGTTCCGGTGTGTGAAGAGCAGCTCAAGGAAATTGAGCGTTGCATCAAAGTCTTCCTCCACGAAAACGGAGAAGAGGGTTCCCTGAGCTTAGCGAGCGTGATCATCTCTGCTCTCTGCAGCCTCACCCGGTGAGATGCTTGGCAAAAAATGGACTCACGAGTGGCTCATGTGTTAGAAGGAGACTCTTTCCTCTTTTAAAACATTTTTTGATCTTTTGGATTTACAGATTATAATTTATAAAACACGGTGAATGTGTTATCTCCATTTTTATTATCATGTAATAAAAAAAGGGATGCAATGACTCAGTGGCTTAAGACGCTTAGCTTGTTGATCAGAAAGGTCGGCAGTTTGGCAGTTCGAATCCCTAGCACTGCGTNTTTCGCTTCTCATCCAAGAAGCTTCTTCAGAACTTCTTCAGAACTCAAGAAGCTTCTGGGATGTGAAGCAAAATGCTTCGAAGGGTGGAACACCCGCGCCCCCCACCCCTCCAAGAAAGTCTTAAGTACCTTTTGGAAGAAAACACTTTCAGAATAACCATGACCGGGATGATTAAAAAACTCCATAGGCCAGAGTCCCAACCAGAGGTGGGTTGCTCCCGGTATGACCCAGATCGAGCGAACCGTTAGTGGCGGTGGTGGGAGGCTCCGCCCACCCACCCGGATGCTTCTGCGCATGCGCACGAGCAAACCAGTAGCAAAATAAATGGAAACCCACCACTGGTCCCAATCCCCCAGGCCATGAGCTGTTCAAAACTGGGCCGCCCAAAGCGGAGGGCGAGTCCATCCATGCTCCATTTGCATGAGTGCCTCAGGCAAATGGAACTGAGTGCATGCGCACACTGAGCCATCCCCTCTCCCCATCCCCCAAGCTGCTCCACAAAGCCGAAAAGTTTGGGCAACTCTGCCATGGATGTTTCTCTCTTAACATGAGTAGATTTGAAAGGTTTTCCTGGTGTTTCGTCTTTTTTTAAAGGTCCTCCAAGCTATGTGCCTGCCACCGCCTTCCTTCAGAACGCAGGTCAGGCTCACTTGATCAGCCAGTGTGAACAACTAGAAGGAGAGGTTGGTGCTTTTCTCCAGCAGAGGCGCTCGGTTCTACGTGGCTGCCTGGAACAGCTGCACAACTACGCCACCGTTGCGCTACAGTATCCTAAAACAGTGTTCCAGAAGCACCGTGTCGAGCAATGGAAGGTCTGGATGGAAGACCTCATTGTTAACATGACCATCGACCATTGCCAGGATCTCTATCGGAAGTAAGTGCTCTCTCTCTCTATCTCCCTCTCTCCTCCTCTCTCTCCCTCTCTCTCCCCCTCCCTCCCTCCCCCCCTCTCTCCTTCCTATAAAAGGAAGGGATCAAAATAATTAATTTCCTCCGTCATGACTCATTAAAGTGCTATACAGAGCTGAGGTGGCACAGTGGACAGTACTACAGTTGCCCCCTTGGAAGCATACATAAGTCTGATTAGACACTGCGCCAAGCTATGGTTTATTTAACTACTGTGTAAAACCATATATCTGGGGATAATCATCATCACCAATTGCAAAAGACAGCTTTATTTGGAATATCTATGAGCCGCGGTGGCGCAGAGGTTAGAGTGCAGTACTGCAGGCTACTTCTGCTAACTGCCGGCTGCCTGCAATTTGGCAGTTCAAATCTCACCAGGCTCAAAGTTGACTCAGCCTTCCATCCTTCCGAGGTGGGTAAAATGAGGACCCAGATTGTTGGGGGCAATAGGCTGGATCTGCAAACCACTTAGAGAGGACTATATAGCACTGTAAAGCGGTATGTAAGTCTAAGTGCTATTGCTATCATGAGTCAAGGAAAGGGATAAACACCTTCAACCTTAAGACTTCACTTTTT